GATACTTTGAAGTTAGTTCCTTCAATCACAGAATTGTGAAAAATATGGGCTGTTTGTTTTTAAAAATGTAATAAATATATGATAGCTAGCACCAATAGAGCATATTTTACAAACAAAGCATTATTCTATTTAAATATTCACAGCATTACCATAATGCAGGCAACAACATATCCTCTTTTTAAAGATTAAAATGGAATGATAAGGCACTGGAGAATTTAAGTGACTTGCCCAAGATCACACAGCTAGGATGTGATATGACAGGGCTGGAATTTCAACCAAGGCATTCTAGGTATAGTGTAAATATTGTCATTTATAAAATTGTTTCACTTCTTGGTGCTTTTAAAATATATTTCATCCACATGACTTTTTTTTTTTTTGCACAGTCTCTCTGCATAAGCCTTATGTCTTTCAATCATTAGATTCCCTAAATGAAATCCTGAACCAGAATATTTTTTTTCTGTTTTTAATAGACCCCTTTTTAGAGCAAAACTAATGATGGTGCTAAAAAATCATATAGTGGTCATTCTTGAGGTGGTTTGTACATAGAAGGGGGTGTGAGGAAATTCCTAGGGAAATGATCATATCCTATTTCTCCAACTGATTACTGGTAATATAAATGTATTCAGTTTGTGAAGATTCATTGAGCTATATATTTAAGATGTATATACTTCCCTGTATGTATATTACACTGCAATAAAATGTTTTTGCTTCAACATAAAATACTTTTTACAACTTGTACTTAAGAAAACAATCGTCTATGAAAGCTGCCTATTCACGCTATAATGGGTTGCATTATTTTTTTTTGTGAGCTCTTGAGTAGCACTCCGCAGTAAGTTTTGAATCCCTAGTTCTGCACTCCACTTTTTGTGTTTCTATAATCTAGAGATTTGTAATCACTGAAAAGTCACTTGACTTTCTGAGCAACAGATATGTCCATGGCTTGACCTTTCTGTAACCAGAAGGTCATGTTAAATTATCTCTGTGCTCTTTACCTCCTGCCGGAACATTATATTGATCCCTCTGTATTTTCAGGTTAAAAGACCAATGCAACTCTGAGGAGTCAGAAACCATTTAAACATTTTCACAAATGAATTTCTGCCCCTTTCTCAATTTTTCACTTTCATTTTTTTTCCATTTTTGTTTATTCCACTGATCTTTTTTGAATTTTTTTTTCTGTGCTCCCATATTTCTTAATTTCATGTGGACAATATTGCAGAAGGATTATTGTCTCATTTGATGGTCCTTTCATCTTGTTTTTTAGGTTAGCAAGAAAGAACAATATATAAGTCACTACATGAAACTGCTGAGTAATATAAAAAGTTCACTTAGTTCACTTAATAAAGAAAATATGAGTTGTGAAGGGTATTGAAGACAGAAGATAATAGGGTCATATGGCCCAAAGAGGATTTAATGTTTTGTAAGTTTTACAAAGTCATTTTCATGCATTTGAAAATAAAGCCATAAAAGATGAAATTTTAAGAACATATTTTTTTTTTCGTGATGCAAAATATCACCTGTAACAAAAAGACATCGTAGATGTCAAAGATGAAAAGGGAGGAAAACAAAAGTATGTGTAATTTAAAATAGCTAAAAGAACAAGAAAGGAGACAAAGAGTTTGAAGTCTGTAAGTGCTTTCCCTTCACCATCCACATTTAGAAGTCTTGTTAATTGTGTATGGAAAATTACTTCTGTTCTCACTGGGATGCCAAACTACAGGACAACAGTGTATTATTGGTGAGCTCTGCACATTCTCGTAGATTAAATAACATATGATAATTTTATCTATATCTAGAATTCAGCCCAAGATCAAGATATAGACTAGGAATAATAGAGGAATAAAACACTAAAAGTGTTCTATATTTATTAACTTCCTATTACACGCCAAGTCTATAGGACATACCTGTAATATTATTTTATTTAAACCTCATAGGAGTGTTCTAAAGTGATAATTCAACAGCCATTTCCTTAAATGAGTAAATTGTGCTTGAGAAAGTCTTAGTCACTGGCTACAGATAACACAGTTAGTGAAAAGGGAGAACATGTTCCATATGACAAGGATGTCAAACATTCTACTTCCAAGGAGTAGTGAGTAGTTAAAACCCTGAACTGAGAACCATCCAAAAGTAATGAGATGTTTCGTCTTCCCTGGGGAATTCGTTGTACATTGGGGAATAAGACTACATCTGAAAGTCTATGAAGTTATGAGCTAAATATTAAACATTTTATTGAAAATTATTAGATCATAGAATAGGAAAATTTTATTCAAAAGCACTTGAAATTATTTTTATTTTAACTATATATTAAGAAAGAATGGCCAAAACTCCATGAATTCTAATAAACATATGATTTCATAGAAATTTTGAACCTTCAAATGCTGTGAAATTGATACTGCCATACTCCAGGATAAATTCATTCAATCACATTGTTGAAAGCATGTTCCACTGGAAAACATTCTGAGAAGCACCCTTTTAAAGAATGGGGTAGATATGACCAATAGAAGCTGAATTTCAGTTGTGATATTTTAACATATATGACTTTTTGAAAATTAGATGTGATATGAAGTGTGTCTTTTTCTCTATTATGTAATTGCTTCCTCATTCCATGTACCCCAACTTGGTCAGCCTGAAAGCCTCTGACTGGCTCACATACTTTACTCCTTCTCTGGTTGGTTGGTTTCAGTTTTAAAGGGAGAATTATTAAAAGATTCTGGTTCAAACCCAACTACTATGTATAACTGTAATATTCTAATAAAAAATAAAGAGACTGTGAGGCTAAAAGCAATATCCTCTATGAATTTTTGACATTTGTCTAGATCCCTTGCCCCCAAACCCAAGCGCACTTATGTCTCTGATGCTGTATGATCCTTATGGTGAGTACCCCAAGGCTTAAGGTCACATTTCCCATCTCTGCTTCTCTTTTTTGAATGAACACAATTTTGCCATTCAACATCTTCCCAGTTTGATAAATTTTATCTGTCAATGTAGATATATATTTTCTCATAAGAACACACATCTCTGTCAAATAACTATATTTTCTTCAAAGATTGACACATTGCAGTGTGAAAGATCTTTTCTAGAGAAATTTAGAAGCCATACATTTCTCAACTGCTTCTATAAAATTTCGTTGCTCAAAAAGTCCTCAGCATTTTAAAAAATGCCTTAAGGCATTGGATCCCTTCATTGAATGTGAAGATAACACCTTAATATTACCATCAAAATATCAAGTATTTAATGTTAGATATGGAATTCCTTACAGCATTACTAGAAACAGTACATTCATTTTCCTTGCTTATTAGTAGAAAAGTTTCCTTAAAGTTTCACAAAAATGGTGCAACTGTTTTTAAGATTTATTTGGATGTTATATGTAGTGAAACTCCTTTTTAGAAATTCCTGCATGGTAGCATTTTGTGTTTGTTTTTATTTTGCCTTGAAAATTTTAAAAAGAATTATTTGTATAGAATTTCAAAATGATAACTTGTAGTTAATTCTTTTCATAACATATGTGTAGCTGTATTCTGAAAGTTAGTGTAGGGGCTGGAGGACTTACTGAAAAGGCCAGCGTTTCTTTATAGGAGGCATCTACACTATAAATTAAAGAAACTTGTGATTAACAATGTCTACCTGGCTGTAGGGAGAGTCTGATTCATGTCTCCAAACTAGCAGGGATGGCTTTTGCCTGGAAATCAAGGATTTCCCTGACATGTATGAGATTCAAAGTTTGTATGTAATCCAAGGAGAAGAAGAGTCTAGTCACCCAAAGACTGTTAGCTTTACGAATTGACATTTTGGGGGAAATGTCTCCTGATACCCCAACTTTGAAAATTCACACAATTATATGTTCCCTAGTTCCTTTTACTAACTCTATGTAGTTTTACATTTTAGAGATAATTGTTTTCCATGCTGGACAAGCAATACTGTAGGAGCAGGGGCAATATCTGTCTGATTTATCAGTGTATGCTCCATTACCTAACCCAGGTTTCTTGCTGCTCAATATACATCTGTGACTGATAAATTAGGTCTTTATAGATAACCGGGGCATTGAAAAAGCTAGGGGTGATCTCATATGAAGAGATTGTAGTCTGTCAAGCATAAAAAGAAAGGCTTGTGGAGCATATGTGAGAAGAAATAAGCTATTGAAAGATAATAAAATAGAAGGAACAAAGAAGCCCAGGAACCAGTGTGATAAGATAGAACAAAAGCCCCAGTAATTAGACAGATCAGATCCCAAATCTTGGCTTTACCCCTTTTAGTTTTGTGACACAGGGCCACATATTGAGCCCTTACATGTCATTGTGAGATGAGTATATTGATGCTAACCTTACAGAAATGTTGCAAAGGTCATAGGATTTACTCTTTTATGTGGTGTCTCTCCTGAGTAATTATTACAACAAAGGTTAAACATTATTTATTAGTGACTATTATTTTTCTTAGTATAATACCTAAGCAAAGAACTGAGAAAAATATGTGAAAAGCTTTCACAGAATTATTTCACCTCTATTTAAATCAGATAATTCTAATTTCAATTATCTATAAGGAGAATGGGTCATTCTGAAGCAGGTTGCAAAATGTGTAGGAAGGGAGAACATGTTCCATGTGATAAGGATGTCAAAACACTCTACTTCCAAGTACACAGGGCTAATCATATATGATCTTTGTTTCTTTATATGTTTATTTGTCATCCTACCCCAAACTGCATGAAAATTTAGTTGTTTATTTTTTGTCTTTTATAGGATTAGCATTCATTAAATTGTGTTAATTAGATTAATTAGGCTACAGATCTCTAATTCTGGCAGAAATAATTCAACTAGATTTGACCTAATGATGATATTATTTTTTTGTTTTGTTTTTTACCTGCAGTTTTCTCTCTTCATCCATCACCCTGGGCAGTTTATTAATTAGAAATATTAAATATCCTTAAATATAATTTTGAATTTCAAAAGGCATAATCATGGAAATGATTCATTGGAAGTGTGATTTAACTGGATATATTTTTATTTCAGTTTGGGAAGCAGCACATAGAGAACCTCTTCAGTGACCTGCAGGATGGAAGACGCCTCCTAGACCTTCTCGAAGGCCTCACAGGGCAAAAACTGGTAGGAAACTTGTTTTCAAGAAAATTTGCAGTAATCTTAATAGAATTTCAAACCAGAATCAAACAGTATAATTTATACACTATTAAATCACTAATTTACTAAGTAACATTTGAATAGTAATGGGGAACCTATTCCTGTATAAAACAATTTCACATTATAGCTTTTATTTTTGTCACTGTCTATCATATTTAGAACAATAAAGTAAAATTTTCAGTAATATAGCTTATGTTAATTAATAGACATTACTTCCTTTTACCTATTTGGTATTCTTCTTATCTAATGTCTTTATGAAGGCTTTCATGCATAATAACTTAAAATTATCTTTCTGCTTTTGTGTATTTGGCAATTCTTTTACAATGAACCTTTATTAGCTTATAAATAAAGAAAAAAATTGGCACAGTATATAAATGTATAGGCATTTTAGTCTAATACACAAAACCATCTGCAATGAGAACGTTACTTCCCTTTAAGGACTTTCATCTTGTCTAACTTCAGAGCATTCTTGTGAGATACATAAGATTGTCAATAAAGTCATGTGTGAGTTTGGGTTCAATTGATCAAGGTCTCATAATGAGAAAAATGGCTCTTAAACCCAAATCTCCTGATTTAAATAATCTTCTTCTTAGATTGCTATTATTCTTTTAAGTAGAGTTTAAGACCCCTGTCTATAGTTAGCCATTCTGCATATCAAATGAATCCTGCTAAATTACTGTCTTAATCTCTTTTTTGCCCTTCATTACAACTTTGCAGCACAGGCATGCACACACATACACATATACGCAGAGTCTTTGTAGATACTGTACAAACTCAAGCTGTCATTCAAAGTCAAAAATGGCAAAAGTCGTGCTCTCCAACTTGCCTCCTATAACTCTTTCCATTTTCTCAGATATACCTATTTTTCACCTGTGTTGCTTTCTGTACTTCTGTACTAACTGTTCTTGAGAAGCTTTGGTTTCTCTTTCCCAGTGATGCCTTTCCCACAATCTCTCTGATAAATCCTTGCTCTTGTTACCCCATAGAGCACCTATTTTTTATTTAATTGTTGCATTATTATTTTCAGTGTATTTATGACTAATACATCTCTCCTCAATTAAATGCCAAAGTTCTATAGAGAAGGGATATATCTTTGCTTTCATTTTTAAATCCTCTTCATTGCTGTAGGGATAAATATTAAATTAAATTAAAACTGATGTTTTATGAAATCTGAATCTGAATTGATATAAGAACAACATGATGACTTAAAGAAATAATCATTTGAGTCAAGTGAAAGAAGTTCATATTTATTATCTTATATTTGAACTTTTAGCCAAATCAAGGGCACTGTATACACTTTATCTTAATTTCCTTGGTTAGAGTTATATTTTTGTATAATCATTTGTATCCTGTGACTGTGAACTTTTATATATTCATATAATTTTTGCATTATACATGCGTTAATTTATGCATTATATATGCATCTTCATGATAGGCATTATATATGTGTATATATATATATATATATATATATATATATATATATATATATAAATAAGTGTCTTGGTGTGTCCCTGGTTTCTGTTATATTCTGCAGCCATTCCTGCTTTCAATTATAGATATAAATAACTCAGTCAATAAAAAACTTTAAAAAAATTAAATAAAATTTTAAAAAAAGATTTTGCTTTTACAACCTGTCCTGACTATGTGCACATGACTTATTTTTTTTCACCTCTGGATGTGTGCATGACCACTTCTCTGTGGTATTGCAACTCTCCTGAATAACTTCCTGAATAGAGGTGACACTTTCATCATCCAAAGCAATTTTGTCAGGGTTAACAAATTCCATATAGGCACAGTGTTTAAAGTACTGGATTTCCACAAAACACAGAAATAATAAAAGTGATTTGCATATTCATTGGGACAGAAAGATATAACCATACATACAAAGAGATGCTGAGATAAAATGAACCCAATGAGTTGCAGGCACTGAAGAAAACAGGCAACCAAAATATCCATGAGATTGGTCATTGTGGAATAAATAGTTGGTGAGGGAAAAAAATCACCAAACACCCACACAAGGCAATATAAACCATATAATTTCAGTTATTGCTACTAACAGAATCTGTAATCAATCCTTCATCCTTGACACAGATCTGGCAGCCCTGATCTGGGGATTTTACTTTTCCCAGAAAGCAGCATCACCTGTCTCATGAATGTGTCTGATTTCAAGACTCCAACTCCTGGTCTTGAATCCTAATAGTTTCTGCAGAGATATGTCCTACAGTCCTAATGGCAGTAGTGTATATTATTGATGAGAAATCTTAGTATTCTATTTTGAAGCATCTGCATGTAGATTATTGTCTCAGGCCATCCCCATGGTTAAAATGAAGGTATTTGCTTTACAACTATAAAATTAAAATTACTCCCCAACAAGACATAAAAGGGGACAGATTTCAGCTTCCACATCAGCATCAGAAACTGCAGCTTTTTTACAAGTAGCATTTTTGGGCCCTGAAAAATATGCACATAAGTATGTAAATGTGTACATGTAAATGTCTGAGTTTGAAGCAAAGGAAATGTTACTTAATTCTTATAATTTTTATACAGTTGCTTATAAGACAATCTGTGTCTTTTGCTTAAATATTAGGCAGAGGATTGATTTATTTTCAAAACTTTAAATTCCTAAAATTACTGAATTATTTTCAGAGCCTTAAATTCCTAAAATTTTATTTTGCTGCTTTGATTTTAATCTGAAGTCAAGTTTGGTCTTTCTATGGACTTATTGGCTTCCTCTTTATGGTGGGAAGTAGGAACATACCAAATGTAAGCCTTTATCACTTTGACATTATTAGAGGAAAATTTTGCAGGACATAAAAAAAAAAAAAAACTATGGAGATCCCTGTTCATGAGGCTAGTTAATATTGTGAGAATTGAAAGAAAATGAGTATTACTACTGTTTGATAAAGGGTATGAAGGAAGGGCTGGGGTTGTGGCTCACTGGTAGAGTGCTTGCCTAGCACTTGTAAGGCACTGAATTCAATTCTCAACACCACATATAAATAAATGAATAAAACAAAGGTCCATCAACATCTAAAAAAATTGTTCTTTAAGAAAATGGTATGAAGCAAGTTTTTTTTTAACAGTAGAATATTTTATTTAATTTGAGAAGTTCAGCAGGTAATTCAAAGGGCAAGATGCTCTAGGCTAGGGAATTGCTCAGGAAGAATATGAGCATTCCTGGAATGTATGGGGCAAAACTTAAGAAGTAGAAAACAGTCTATTTGGATGGTGCATGCACAAGGAAGTTAGAGGGAGAAAAGTAAATGAATGTGGAAACTTTGATTCAATAGGCACAGACCAAAGTTTTCATTCTAGTTCCACAGATTGTTAGTTGTATGGCTATGTATTAACTCTTGACTTAAGGTTCCCTATATGTATAAGGGACATAACAACAAATTTTCTTTTTCTTTTTTTTTTTTTGAAAGATAATTTTTTAATATTATTATTATTATTATTTTTAGTTTTTCAGAGGATACATCATCTTTATTTTTTTTAATTTTTATGTGGTGCTGAGGATCGAACCCAGTGCCTCGCGCATGCCAGGGGAGTGCGCTACTGCTTGAGCCACATCCCCAGCCCAACAACAGGTTTTATTGATAGTGAATACAAGTACCTAGCACAAATTACAAACTCAATGATAATAACAGTAAACATTTTATTTTATCTATTGTGTGAGAAATACCAATCTAAGTGCTTTATACATATTAACACATTGAATTCTCTCAGGAATCAATATGGATCCATTGCTTTTATTAGCAATTTCAACAGATGAGGAAAGTGGTCTACATGGATACTGAGAAATTTGCCCAAGGTCACCTAGTGCAAAAGTGACAGTTGAACATTGAATCCAGGAGGGTCAGCTTTATAGTTCATGCTCTTATGTTTAACTAAACATTGAGAGATGAGCTAGGCATGGTGGCACATTCCTATAATCCCAGCTACTTTGCAGGTTGAGTCAGGAGGATGGCAAGTTCAAGAATAGCCTCCACAACTAAGATCCTGTCTCAAAATGAAAATAAAAATAAACAAATAAAGAGGGCTGGAGAAGTAAGTCAATAGTAGAGCACACCTGGGTTCAATCCCAGCATAGCCAAAAAAAAAAAAAAAGATTGAGATGAGAGCTATGCAAATAATTTGCACTTGTAGTGGACTTAGTTCAACAATGTCATTGTTGAAGATGTAAATATGAATGGAAGGAGGAACAGTGAGTGAGAAAAGGAGGTTATGATGTGCTCTGAGCAATAGTTAATGAGGGCTTGTTAAGGTAAAAGAAATGGAAAATAGAAGGAGGGAATAAATACAACAAGCATTATAGCACTAGGTGTTCTAAAGCTCCACAACTGAATAAATGAGATAATTCATATATTACAGCAAACTGTATAGATGTCAGTTGAAAATTTACAGATTGAGATATAACTTTTGGGACTGAAAAGAAAGTAAGGGAACCAAAGGTAGTTTAGCTTTTGAGCTTCAGTAACTAAGACAATTAAGAAAATATTCAAAGAAATGGTTTCTTTAACCCTATTTTCCAATATATTCTTTACATGACTCATATCTTTTTTAAACTTTCCTAAAAAATGTGGAAATTAGTTGATTATCTGTCCTATTGGTAAATATCCTTCTGTATCACTTTAAATAGGCTTTGTGAACAAAACAGGGGGGCCTTTCTTTCTCAAATGAGTGGTTGGTTCATTCTAAAAAGAGACTATGCCAGGGACAATTAGTCCAAAACCTTAAGTACATTATATAAATGCCTCATGACCTATGTTTATTTAAATGTAAAACATTGAAACATAAAAGTTCAAATTATAAATTGTTTTATTTCTGGTGGATTTTTGGTCTGTGTGCTGGGCAGTGAACACTGTTTCTTTTTGTTTTTCAGCCAAAGGAAAAAGGATCTACAAGAGTTCATGCCCTGAACAATGTCAACAAGGCACTGCGGGTCTTGCAGAAAAATAATGTAAGTGTCTAAGGCTTTGGATGCCATAAGGCAATGTGGTTAATGTTTGAATGAAGGCTTCAGCCCCCCAGTGCAGAGAAAGCATCCCAAATTCTCTTGTAAATCAAACTAGTTTTTATGAACAGCAGAAATTCTGGTTCTTTCATGTGTGCTTGTGGCTAATGTCGTCCAGGAAGCAAATGCATGCATTTACAGAGGACAGGTAAATACATGACATAGATCTCCATGTTGTTTTAGGACTTTACTCAATGCAACTCTATTTAGTGGACAAACTGATTTCTTGATAAATCTGTGTTCAAAACAACAAATAGATTTTGGCTGTATGTAATTTTATGTACTCAGTATGTTTAAACCTCATGGTAATGAAGTTTGAATTAAGCTAAAAATTAGTAAGCATCATATCAAAAATATAAATTATACAGAAAAATAACTTTTTAATCTCAGGGTAAGAACTACAGATTTTTTTGTACTAGGTATTGAACATAGGGAGGCTTATTCATTGAGACACATCTACAGCCCTTTTTTAATATTTTATCTAGAGACAGGGCCTTGCTAAGTTGCTTAGGACTTCAATAAGCTGTGGAGGCTGGCTTTGAATTCAAGATCCTCTTGCCTCAGCCTCCCAAATCACTAGGATTATAGGTGTGTGCCACCATGCCTGGCTCAGATATGTTTTTATCCTTATGTTTGGTTCAGTTTAACTGAATGGAAACATATGTTTTGTATTTTAAAAAAGTAAAAAAAGAATACATAGCTCAATGAGTTGGCAGATTAGAGGAGTTCTAATCACCTCTGAGCGACTTTGATGTTTGTTCCTCCTTCTATCATGGCCTTAAATGCAAATGGTCCTCCTTTATGATTAACTTCTACAACCTTTCTAATCGACCAATACATTTATCAGGTACTTTTAGTAGCTTCCTAATTACATTATACCTCTTTTTCAAGGATAAATTCAAATACATTGATCACACACTCTTAAAATAACCATAAACTGTGATAGATTAGTAATAACATATACTTGCCCCCCCCCAATGTTACTTAGCTCACCTGGCAGAGAGAGGGCATTACACAGGATACATAAGTGGAAAGTACATAGCAATTGGTTGATTTTATGAATTTAGGATCACTGTTACGTTGAGCAGCTGAAAGTTACTTTATAGAAATATTATTTTATTATTTTCTAAAGAGATTAGATTTTCAATTTTTCTGCAGCCAGAAGAAAGTTGTTGGACTGATTTTCTCATTGTTAGTCTGATATACTTACCCTTTTGAAAGATAAGAATCATGTAAATTATAAAAAAAAATTAAGGTGTTTATAACTTACACAAAGAAAATATCCTTTAAAATATCAAAACCCCATATTCTATTTGAAAGTGTAAGAGCAAGGCAAACAGCAAAAATACATAGAATCATTGGATTTAATTAATTAAATATAGTTGGATTTCCCCTACCAAGATAATGTAAGATTACAAAATAAGCTTTTGAATCTCCTATCAAATGATCAATTACTGTAGCTATATGTTTTCTTTGGTAAGAATTTTAGGTTTTTTGTTTTTGCCAAACTTTTACACATTATGAATATGTGGATTTCCTGTACATATTATGATTACCAAATTCACAGTTTTCAATATAGGATCAGAAAAATCTTGGCAATAAAGCAGACAAACCACTTAAGAATTCTATGTGACTTTGTGCCAAGTATTTATTATGTACAAAACCAAAAGCATGATTTGAAAAGAGAAAAATTAACCTGAACTTCATCAATAGTATAAGTTGTCCCTATATTCTGGATATGAGCTCTGTTTTATAAGTTGCAAATATATTTTCCTTCTTTGTGGGTTATATTTTTAATTAATTAGTGATGAATTTTGGTAAACAGAATTTCTTCATTTTGATATAGTTTATTTTTAAAATGTTAACTTTCATTTTTGTCCTGATTAAGAATTATTGGTCTAGTCAAGCTTTTCTGATAGTATGACATTATCTATATAAGCTTTATTATTTTGCATTTGAATTTGCATCTATATTTCATCTGAAATTGATTATTGTATATGGTATGAGGAATGGGTTAAGTTTTGGTTGTTTTTCATTTGGAATATAATCAACACAACAGCGTTATTGAAATGAATATTGCTTCCCTGTTGCTCTTTCATTACCAGATATGACATAAAACTTTGTTAATACATATGTGTGCTTGCTCCTAGACTTCAATTTGCTTCCATTGTTCTATTTTTCTATATAAGCACAGATATCATGTCATGGATATAACTTTGGTTTATGATAAGGTTTGGTATCTGGCAGACTAGCTTCTCGCACACTATGAATAGAATAGCTCCTCCAAAACTTTAATGTAAGTTGAATTGCCATTGTAACATTATGAAGAGAAGTGGCCTTTAAGAGGTGATTGGGTTGTAAAGGCTTCATCCTCCTGAATTAATTGACATTGTTACCCTTGCAGTAGACTTCTGATAAAAGGATAAGTTCAGCTCCTTTTATACCTATCTGATTTGGTGCCTGCCCTTCTGCAGTTATACACAAAAAGAAAGTCCTAAACAAATACAGATGTCACACTCTTGACCATCCCAGTTTCTACATTGATGAACTTTATAATATTCTGTTGCTTACAAGTCACCCAGTCTGATATTCTGTTATAGCAGCAAAAAAGTGACTAAGACATTTCCCATTGTTGTTCTGCTAGATTTTCTGGGCTTTTTGGTCCTTTGTGTTCTATATTCATTTTATAATTATATTTCTTTTTCTACCATAAATTCATTTGAAAAATGATCAATATTGGGTTAAATCTAGAGATCAGTTTGGAGATAATGAATGCATTTATTATACTGAATATTTCAATTTTCTCCTTTGATTTTCTTCTATATTTTAAAAAATTTATACTTTAAAAAATGAGAAAAAAAATCCAATGAAAAAAATGGCCCATGTACTTAGACAAAAACTACTCAAAAGGAGGTGTTGAAAAGTTCAAAAGTAATATAAAAATATTAATTCTTGGCAGTAATTAGGAAAAATTAAAATTACAACTCCAACATCATATCGATATAAACTCACCAATATGACTAAAATTAGGAAGAAAAATAATGACAAGTGTTGATAAAGACATGGAACTGGAACTCTCATAATTGACATAATAATTCAGATGAACATTAAATGAAGTCAGACATTATCTATAATGTCAAAATTGACATTTCTTATGACCTAGAAGTTTTATTTCTAGGTATCCAGCCAACATAAATACATTTCTATGTTTACCAAAAAAATGTACACATCAGAATGTTTAAGGTAGTTTTATTCATAAAACCCCAAACTGAAAATGACTATGGTATGTTCCCCTGATGATATATTATAAATCAATGAAAATGAGGTAATGATATCTATATATAATGCACAGATTGTGAGTATCCTGAAATAAATTTGAGCAAAAGAGGTGAGACACTAGGTATGTCTACTAGGCATGCCTACTATTATTTCTTTTAACTAAGTTTCAAAAACAAGCAAAATACTTCCAAGGGTATAAAATTTAGGAGAGTGGTTAGATTTTTGGAAGGAATCAAGCAGTAAAATACATAAGGAAATTTTCTTAAAATGTTCTATGGTTTAACATGTTGATTGTTATACAGCTACATTTAATTGTACAACCAAACTGTATAATTAAATGCAGTTTTCTGTATGTATATTTCAACTAAAAAAAGAACATAAATGAGAATTGTAAGAAGGAAAAGTAGACCTGATATTACAACTTCCAAAACTCCAAATGATGAGCACATTTCACCATCTGATTATAGTCCCTAAACTGTCTAATGAAATTATTGAATGACTATGATAAATGAATATACAAAATTACAATGTGGTTAATGCAACATATGGATCTTTACTTTGAAGGCTACATTTCTTACAGAATATAGAGAACCTTCTAATATTTTATGGGAGAAATACCCCAAAATAAGGGTTTAAATTTAAAAAGCCTTCTAAAGCAAATTTATACAATGCTTTCATTTGAGCCAGGGCACTAATGGAGAAATGCATGAAAACATGGGGTTTCTGCATTAAAAGACAGAATCTTAAAAGAAACATTCTCATGTAGAAATTAAAACTCAGAGCAAATAACCTTGACCTGAGTTAACCTCAGGCTGAAAGATATAGGACACAAATGTTCAAAGGAACATGTATTATTCTTTTATATGTCTCCATTGTTTTTTAATAAAAAGAAGTACAAAATAAATGGAAAATATTACAAGGTACAACTGTATTAGTCTCTGATTGTTATCATATTGAATAAACACACAATTAAGTGAGAGAATGTTCAAGAGCAGGATTCTTTACTGAAGATGAATTTGAACATTCTGTATCATATGAATATAGCCTGAGACAGGGTAAAAAATAAAGCAGTATGTTATATAAAATAGTAGATAGGACTAGTTCAAATTTACTTTTAAAAATGACAAATTCTCAAATTATCATAGAAGATATTGTTTGGCAAGTTTAATAGTCATACCTTTAAAAATAGGTTAATATATTCATATTCAACACAGTTTTTAATAGTGTTTCCTATGTGTCAGGTATTTTAGGTGATTAAGGATACCGTAGACAATGATCGGAGCAAACATAATCAAAAATAGTCCTTTCTGTTTTGTAGTTTGTTATGTTTAATGTGCCCATATGATAGAGCACAATAAACATTTATATATATATATATATATATATATATATATATATATATATATATATATATATATATATATATATATATATATATATAATGGATAAGTATATGAAGAAGGGATGGACAGAATAGGAGGTATGGGAAGATCTCTTGGTTAAGTTTTTATATAAACCAAGACCTGAAGGAAGGGAAGGGGTATGGTATGAGCCAAGCAGAGTTAATAAGAAAAAAAACCTTGAGATTTATGAAAAAGTATTTGGAATGAGGACTCAGTATGTAGCGAAGATCAAGTATGCAAAAAATAAACATAGACAAGGGCAAC